GTGTTGCAAGGTGGAAGGAGCGATGCTGTGGAGCGAGGGAGGCGTGGCAAGCGCCCAGCTACGTGTGGAGTCGCAAGTCACAAATCACAAAATATGCCTGCCATTCTTTTGTTATTGTTGTTGTTGTTGTTGTTGTTGTGAATATTTTTGCTTCATTTTTCGCTGTTTTAGTTGTTTTGCTACGTTTAGGCCTTTGAGCCTGTCTACTTAGCCACGTAGCGTTTGTGGAGGGGAAGGAGAGGTGGCGGAGGAGGGAAGGAGGGTATATGGTCTGAGTTGAGTCTGGAGAACAGCCAATAAATCAAAGCATGTAATTTCTCAGTGTTTTGGTCATAACTTGATTTTTATGCCATTTTGTCTTAGTTGTTGATTTTGTAATTTATGTCACGGTGTATTTTTGTGGGAGGGGGAAAAACTGCTAACAGTTGGCAGAAGATGCCGATTTTTTAATGCTGCAATAGTAAAATAGTTGAAGAGTATATAGAGTAACTATATATGTATATATATATGTATATATACAGATGCGGTCAAAATGATAGCAGTGCTATTTCTCAAAGCATTTCGTAAAAATGTGGCCAATTTAATGCTGATCAAATCAAGACTTCAAAATCTTCAATATGAATGAGAAATTCGGTTCTGCAAAACAGAAAATATTTTGTTTCTCATCTGTGGGAATATTTTTAAAGATAGGAAAATATGAACACCCATCGTATCTAGTTCTTAGGAAGGGAAAGCTGAAAGAACTTCACCATTTATTTTGCTAATATTATAATGATTTATTTAAATATTAATTTAATACAAATATATTTAAAATATATATAAAAATAAAGACTTTAATGTTGTTTTTTTTATTAATTTCACAATTGGAAAACGAAAATTCCACTGGCTGATTAAATACACATCCAAATTAAGGCACTCATCCAAATGACTACTTTTTAACTGCATTTGCATATGGTATTGCTATTTGATTTAATATTAATTGAACAGTTGGGAACACAATTATACGTAGATTAACATTAAATCTCTGATGGCAATAGTTAGATCAATATCAATCAATTGCTTTCACTTGCTAATAAAAATAAGCTACAACGATTTCACACGGACCCAAAGCCAAAGCTCTGCCAACCAACCTCCTCCAGTGAAACTATAACCTTCTCCAGCTAAACTAGAACCTCCGCCTAACCAGTAAAGAATGAATCTGTAATTTAAATTGTTCAAAATTTAATTATTTTACTTATTATCAACTGCTGTCTTGCTTATACAAATTAATTATGTCATCCCAAAAAATATATTTATTTTTGATTAAATTATTGGAGATAAATTGGGATAGAAGTTGTGGAATATAAAATATAGAAATGCAAAGATAATCTAACTGCCAAACTGTGACTAAAAATGCATTGTTTTTGAAAATCGATTCAGGTTTGATCAAATAAGGACTCAACCATGATTATGAGCATTTCAAGCAGTAAATAACACATCTGCATCTAAGAATCGCTCTCAGTTAGCATCAGCTTAAGCCAAAGTAATACCTTAAATCCGCTCAACTAAGCAAGTTTTCGAGGCAACTGTAACTTGTGCCTTTATGCCAAAGACAGGCCATGTCAATACTGTGCAATATCCATTGCTGCAAAAGTTTTCCAATACCATTTACCATAATTCCACTTTGCACTGCATTGACACCTAACCAAAAGTCATTCAAAAAGTGGCAAGACAAGAGCCAGCTGAGCATATCTCCCTCTCCATATATATATGTACATATATATATATATATATGTGTAACTGAGTAATAGCTGTAGTAAAAAATTGTGAAAAGCACTCGCAAATGTTCAAACTACACTTCTGGACATGGACATGGACACTTAAGTGACAATGTCTGACCTTTTCAACAACTGGAGACGAGGATGAAGTCCAGTGGAAAAAAATGCGAAAAGTAAAAGCAAAATTTTGCTCGAACAAGACAGAAAAAACTAAAAATACAAAAATGCCAAAGAAATAACTAAAAATTGATGCATGTATGCAGAAATTTGTTGGAGGTCTCCAAAAAAATGCTTACGTGATGTTTAAGTTGCAAGTTTGGTGTGTGTTGAGTGTGTTGGGAGTTGTGTGTGTGAAGGTCGCTAGCAGGGCAGCCAATATAAATATAGAGATAGACATGCAAGAATCAAGTGGAGACAGCTCTACTGAAACTTTGCTGATATTAATTTGAATTCTTTTTATTCCTTTTATTATTATTTTGAATATTATTATTAGTTTCCCCTTCGTTCCTTCTATTTAAATAAAATTATTCTTTTCAAAAGCGCTTATCTCTGTTAATCTAATCGTCTTTTAGAATTACAAATAAATATATATTGAAATATTAATTTGTGTTCTTATTATTATTATTATATTATATATTATTAGTTTATTTTCAAATGCTTATGTCTCTGTTCATATGCATCTGCATCTAATCATCTTTTAAAACTATAAAGAAGTAAATCTGGAATCAGTTTAAGAAAATTAAATTTAATATTAATTTAGAGTTGAAACCATAAGCTGCAACTTCTTTATTACATTTTGATTGTTGAATTAATTACCTTATTTTATATTTTATTTTAATGAAAATGCTGAAAGAAACGACTAATTTAATAAATAGGACATGTCCGATGGAGATCTACAGCAAGCAAAAGTGCATTTGAATACCCTGGAAATATATAAGAAAATTATTTATGTATTTATTGTTTAACGTAGACTAAAATCAGTCGGCACAGAAAAATTCATTATTATAGACATTATTAATCTTTATCTTAATCTTAATATTATTATCTTTACAATTGTCTTTTTTATTATTGTTAATCGATTTGAATCGATATACGCTAGGCGAGTGCAATTATCGATCAAATTAAATAAACCTTATATGCCTATGATACATGAGAACTTATATTTCAAATTAGAAGTCTTATAGTCTCTGAGATCGGCTTGTGCATACAGACAGATAGACGAGCATGGCTTAATCGTCCCTTATAAATATATAGTCACATATACAACTATATAACCTATCTTAAGTGTAAGCTTTCGTTTAAGAATTTAATAAACAAGTTGAGTTTGCAATAACAACGATAGTCTCCCATTAGAATAAGTACCCATATATAACTATATCTATACTATATTTCGTTGCAGTTGCTTCTTATGCCTGTTGCATATTTGTTTAGCATACCCTTTTAGCCCATTTTTAATGGGTATGCTACGAAAAAAGGGCCCAGACGCAGACTGAGCAGTAGAAGTTCTTGCTGTTTTCACAAGTTGCCAGTCAACACACTCAAGAAACATACGCACAACAAAGACACGCACACGCACACACAGCACCAACACATACTTAACACACACACACACACACACAAAGCACACACTCAAAACACACACAACACAAAACGATTGTCTAACTTTAAGATTGTCAAAAGTTGCATGCACCGTCTGTCCCTTGTGATACTCCCAACTCCCCTCCTCCTCCACCCTGCGATTATACTCCCCCCCCCCTCCCTAGCTACGTGCTTTTGCTGTCAACAGCTGCAGAGACACGCGCCAGTTCAATATTGATGCCAACTTTTGAGTCAACTCAGTCAACGTTTAAAAGCGCATTTAAAGGCAACAACAATGGCAAGAAGAAGAAGCAGAGAAGCTGCCCCCAAAAACCGCAAGCTGCAGCAGTCACACACCCCTACATCCCTCATACACCCATCCACCCCTCACCTATGTCCAGGCTCACAAATTGCCCCCAAATGAGAGGCAAGTCTGCTAAAATAAACTGCAACAGCAGCAGCAACATATGTCTTTGTGTGTGTGTGTGTGTGTGTGTGTGTACCGGTTGTTGCGTGTTTACGCAACGTAACCAAAGTCAAAACCTCGATTAGGATTCAATCTGCTGCTGCTGCTGCTGCTGCTGCTGCGAGGCCAAACAAAACACGCTTTATCCTGCTCGTTGTCCTTGTTATCCTTGTTGTTGCTATTGTTGTTACTATTTTTGTTGTGGATGTTGTTGTTGTTGCTGCGCCGCAGGTCAGCTGCAAAGTCAAACCGATTAAAACGCACAAACACACACAAATAAATACATACACACGGCTGCTTTGCTGTCTATCCATACACTAAGAAAAATATGTTAATGCTTTTAGTGCCAAGAGCAGCTCAAATTATTTTTCAGAGAGTGCTTCCTATTTTGGAGGACTATCAAAAGAAAAACCAGAGAATCGTACGGATGGGAAAACACTATCAAAATTCCTGGACAAGAATATTTACACCAACATGCACCAACACATGGCTCATTGTTAAACTGCCCCACTAGGAAAGCAGGCAGGTTTATTGTCTCTTCTGAACCCTTTTCAACTTTGAACTCCATGCCTTATATGACTGAACTCTGCTTTAATATTTTCAGTGTCGGAAAAGGCTTTTGTGCTTATGTGAGACGAACACCCAAACCAGAAATATGCTTCGCAAATCATTCTTACAATAATAATAATTATTATTTTCTTATTATGAAGTGGGTCCAATTAGTTGGGTAAAAACACATATTTCGACAGATCGTTCCTACTATATGATATAGTGATCCGATCCGGTCTGTGGACAAAAGACGAGCATATGTCAAGTTCAATCAAGATAGCTTTAAAATTAAGGAAGTAGTTTGAATGGGAATAGACGAACTTGGCTATATTTATGATTATACATCTATATATATCAATATATAATATATGTATATGTTTTAAATATATATATAAATATATTTATTTATTATATTTCGTCATTTCAATATAGTGTTTTGCTTGTTGTTGAAAGTTCACTTTAAATATATCTTAAAATAGTTGCGCTAAATATTTAAATGACGAATTTTTAAATTTTGAAATAAATTTGGGAATGTGAGAAGTGTGTTTAAAAAAACACACACTCAAATCAAAATCAGAGTTGCACAAAATAAAATATATAAAAACAACAAATGACAGCTGTCAGTGAAAAAAAAGAAGGAAAAATCAAGCATGACAAGCAAAACATAATTGTGAAAAACTGTAGAAAATATCGAAAAGAAAAGATTTAAGATTTAATCGCGTTAAAAATGGTAAGTTTGATTAGTGAAAACAGCTCAAAATGAATCGATGAACATTTCGTTGTCATCAATGTATCATTAGTCAACGCAGAAGCCGCTGTTGCTGAAGTTGCCGCTGCCGAATCGTGTGCAACCCGAGGTGCGACCCCGAGGCGCCACACTAGGGAGACACACAAATAAATTGGAATATTTACGCAACAATTTGCTCGACAAATTGGCAACCAAAGAATATGGTCTGGCATTTATGAAACCCGTCGATGCCATTGCCCTGAATATACCCAATTACTATATGATTATCAGTAAACCGATGGATATTGGCACGATGCTGAAACGTGTGGAGAACTTCTACTATCGAGGCGTGGATGAGTTGATTTTGGACTTTAGGCAAATGTTAAGCAACTGTTATTGTTTCAATAATCCAAATGACTTGGTCTATCGACATGGCCAGCAGCTGGAGGAATATTTCAACAAAGTGTTGGCCAAAATGCCAATGGGCGAGGAAGTCGAACTGCACAATCAGAGTGGTACAGCTGGTGCAGGTGGTGCAGGTGGTGCAGCAGTTGCTGCAACTGTGAAACAGGATAAGGTGGAGCAGGAGTGCCGTCAGCAGCTAATGAACCTAAAACTACACACATCGGATCAAGTGAGAGACGTCTTCAGGCCCAAATGGCGAGCGGTGGCACAAAAAGTCAACGAACATCAATTTCAGCATATTGAAGAATTTCACACACATGTGCAACAAAAAATGGAGCATTTGCTGTGTGCCACAAAAACCATATACGAAAGTGTGTTGCATGAGTCCCTGGATGACATCGACGAGCAGATGCAACAAATTGAGTTCGGGCAACTCTTAAACGCAGTGGGTAATTGCAGCAGGCGACGAGATCGCTGCGAGACTCAGCTGAGCAAGTGCCTCGATTGCAAAGTGTCGGGCTTAAGGAAGAGTTTACAAAATGCCCGACTGCGTCACAAGGTCTGCGCAGAGCAAAGGGACAGAATGAAAGAGAAGTGTCGCCGCAAAATCAGCTGTAATTCACATCACAGCCAGGACTCGCAGTTGCAGGATGAGATCAGCTTGGAGGAGCGTCGTGAATTGCGTGCGGAGTTTGCCATGTTGCCGTGCAGAACCCAAAATGAAATCATGCAACTGATCAATGAGTGCAGCAGCGGCGAGAACAGCCTCAATCCTCGCCAGGACTATCAATGGTTTGACATTATGAGTTTCAGCAGCCGCATAATTAATTTGATTAAACGTGAAATGCACCCGGAAACTAAGATCAATTTGCGTCACATGAAACCGGATGAGAAGGTGATCTTGCAACGCAGCTTGGAGCGACGCTTGGAGAACATTAATCAGGCGCTGGGTGGTTCCAGGAGGAAGTACACCAGACGCAACTCCGATATACGTCATCCTATTGCGAAGCGACAACTTTTATATAGTCCAGTTGGGGGAGGGGCAGGCAATGGAGGCGGTGGAGGCGACGGACGCGCGGAAGGGGTTGTGGCTAAGCGAAAGTGTAGAGCGAAGTTGAAATCGGGAAATTCCGATCCGAGGGGCAGCAGCAGCAGCAGCAACAGCTCCACCTCCTCATCCTCTTCGAGCAGAAGCAGCAGCAGCTGCACTTCTCCTTCGAGCAGCAGTTCCTCGGGCAGCGGATCTTCCAGTAATCAAGAATCCAGCAATGATGCTCAAACTGCTCCTCATTCCACACCTCATACTCTTCTTCCTGTTCCAAGAATAACTGGGATGAGTCCTACTATCATGAATAAAAATACGAGCTAAATTAGGACAAAGAGACTTGGCGAATTCTTGGACAACTGCAACTCTGTTGTCTGATTTAAATTATGGCGCCGTAGTTCATTTGCTGTATTCTAATTGGGTTCCTTAAAAAATTAATAATCGTTTAAAAATCAATTTTAAAATATCGTTTTACTCATTGTAGATTTAACTAGATTACAAATTTCTTTCTTCTCACACAGCTAACAGTTAACCAAATTTCAAAAATTGGTAATCGAATTTAAAATATTGTTTTACTTATGTATTGACTGTGCGAAGCTTGCCAAAGGATCCTTGTTCAAAATGAAAATAATCTATTCTACATCAATCTAGATTATAATTTGTATAAAATGCTCAGAGATGTTATACTCCTCTTCATATCTTATACCGAACATTTAATCATATAGACAGCCAACAACAAATGATTCTAACAAAAAACCTAGAAAATCGCTTTTAGTCAATTTGTCTTCTTTATAGAAAGAATTTCTAAATATACGCAAAAAAAAAACATTGCTTAAAAATCAAACGATAGCGAAAAAAATCGACTTAACTTTTTTATAAAAATATTTTCTTTGATAAAAATTGTATGCTATGAAAAATCAATCCTCGTTTAAGAATCCAATTAAAATATCGTCTCATTTAAGTTGGAAATCTGCGAAATGTGCCAAAGGATCGTTCCATGCTCAAAATAAAAACAATCCATTCTAGACCCATCTAGGTTAAAATAAGTGATAAAGACACCTAACTTGTTGCATGCTGTAACTTCCCCTTTAAGCTATACAGTTCAGTTTATAACACTAAATTTGCTCTATTTAATAATGACAACTAAAAAGCTTGATGAAGGAGAATGTCATAAGGACAAAAGAAGACCCTAATAAATATTAGAATACATATTCGCCTATTTTTTCATTAAATCTTTAGGAATCTGAGAAGTGTACGAATCATTTTTGGGCTAGAATAAAGTGTTATTTTGGTTATAATTAACATTTGTAGCTATGCCAAATATTCATTCTATTTTTTTAACATATTATATTTAAATTGCATTTCATTCGACATGTTCATTGCAAAACTAATATATTATATATTATATACATATATATAATGTATAGGTAATATATACTTTATGGAGTTGGAGTTGCTTCCTACTATTTGTGAAATATTTTTAAAATCTCTTTTCAAATTTTCACGTTCATATTCAATAAAAAAATATATACAGAGTAGCTTTTAAATATTTTTTCACAGTGTAGTCACACAATGTGTGGCGTATTCTTCAAGGGGCAATTAACTGGGACGCGCAAACTGTGGGACTAAAAAAGTCGGTGGCGAAAAAAATAGTGCCCACATGCGAGTGTGTTTGTATGTGTGTGTGGGAGTGGGTGTGTTGATGTTGTGCGAGGCTAGCATAGATTAGATTTTGGCCCCCTTCCCCCCCCACACCATGACTGACTCACTGACAAAATACTTGCAGCAGCTGCCGAAGGGACCGCAACGCTTTGGCCATAAAACAGCCATTAACGCCAGGAGTCCTCAGCCAGTTTTAGCTTCTTTTTTTAAAGCGCTTTAATTTCTATATTGAAAAAGAGAGAGAAAGAGAGAGAAAGAGAGTTGCTGCTTGTTCTTGTTCTTGTGCTATGGGGCTTCTTGGCTGTCAGTAACATGCGCACCCAATTGCAATTAGCCAAGGTGCAAGAAAACGCCAAGAAAAATGAAAACAGGCAAAGTGAAAAGGCAGCCACAAGTGGGCAATGCGAACTTGAAACCAATTTAAACTAGCGGCAAAACAGCCAAGAAAAAAAAACAGCGAAGAAAGTGTAATTTAGAGAGAGAGAGAGAGAGAGAGAGAGTGTGTGTGTGACTAGGAGATACCCTGTACGCAGCAACTACGTTCTTCAATTTTGTTTGTGCTTCATTTAAAAAATATTCGAGTTTCGGAAAATATAAACAGCCAATAAACAACAGGCAGAACAATTAAATTACGGCTTTAAGAATATATGTTTTGCCATAGTTGTCTAAGTTACTTCTCCTTTGGAACAATTGCAAATCTAAAATCTTAATTTTGTCAAATTGTAAGCTGCTAAATTTTGTTATAAAAGAACATTTTAATCCATAATTTCTAGATTCTAATTTTCTATACAAGTTTTGACTTCTTTAGAACACCAAAGTTAATGGATTTCCTATCTATCATTCTGCTTTAATATTTCCAGTTGGAAAAGGTCTCTGTGCATATGTAAGGCGACCATCAAATGCAAAAATGTAGTTCACAAATCATTCTTAAAATTAGTATTATTTTCTTATTATGAAGTGGGGTCCGATAAGTTTGATAAAAATACTTGTCGATCAACATATTTACAATGAAAATTTGAAAGTTTTAATATGGCCTTATTATGGGTATTTCAACAGCACAAGAAGAGACTAGGCATAGCAGCAAGAAGGCTCTAAAGTGATTAACGGACTTTTCGTTGAATCCAATTCACATTCATCAGATACAAGACCCTATCAAGAATCTTTGGACTTTGTCTGATCAATTCAAATCAATGAATAACAAGACAACTCTGCGATGCATCAAGAAAATTGACTTGCAAACAACAAAAAAATCGTCAACTTAGCTTATTATTTAAAAAAACAGGGTTTTTCTATAAAAGTCCAAGACTCAATATTGAGTTTCTTTTATCTTCGATATGTATATATATATTTATATATATATAACCGTCTGAATTCCATAGTGAAATTATTTTCGAATAATATCTTGTTTTTTTTTAAATCCGTTTAGTTGACGTTAAATAAATAAATAAATCTATTTTTTAATTTATAAACTCAAATTTAAATTAGTTGGTTTTTTGTTCAACTTTTTAATTGGAATATTAATCAATTTATTGAACAAAATGTTTTTATTTGTAGTGCTTTCAACTGCACTCAAAATACCATTTAGCAAGCCATATTAATGGGTATTCATAATAATAATATACTCAAGGCATGCCACGCCCATCTAAACTCGACTCGAGTCGAGTCGCCTCGGTGTCTGCCACAAATTAATTTGCCGAGTGTCTTTTGCAGCAATCCGCGGACATGGCCAGTGCTGCTGCGTTGAAGGTGAGACTGGGAGTGGGGCACATACATATATCTAAGGCAAGTATCTCTGTGGCATTACAATTTCAATCTGAGCAGGAAGCACACACAATTCATTTAGTGGGATACTTTACAAAAGTATCTCAATCTCGGCCATCATATTCCTGTTTCAATAAATATAAAAAAGAAGAAAAAAAACCGCAGCATATCAAATTACGCAAACAGAGCCCGATGACAAAGTGCGTGGCATGTGGCAGGGGTTGTTGTGGCAAGGTGTAGCAGTCAGCTACTTGATAAGTGCTTCTGCGGGGTGGCATGTGGAAAGGGAGGGGGGGTTTGCGGTTGACAGTCGCCGTTGAAAAATTGTTGCCAATTTTTTAGCACTGACAGCTTGCAAAGTTATCCGAGAATATCTAAAGTGAAAATGCTCGGCATTTTAATTTTATTAGACGCAGCCAAAAGAAGGTAGATAAAGATACAAGCAGTGAACTGAGGCATGCCACGCAGCGCAGCAGTAGCCGTGCAACAAGAACCAAACAAATGATTGTCAAGCAAATCTGTTAAAAGAGTCTCAACTTGATTTCAGTGCTTAGCACATAAATTATGTTGTTCGTTATATAAATAAAAAAAATATACAGTTTTCTTTGTTAATCTCAACATTTATTGCTATATCTAGCAAGGGTATATATAGCTGTATAGTGGGTTAAGTTGATGGCTAAAGAAAACTAAACAAAATATGTTGGTGACAATTTATAGAATGAGAAACTTCATTATTAATCCACTACACTTAAAATTATACATTTAAATAGTTTAATAAAAATAAACATAAAAATAATCAATTTAAGGACATTCATTTTGTTTTGTTTATAAATCGATTAATGTTTACTTATCTTCAGCATTGATTGCTTGTGTTTAAATCAAATTTACATACATTTTGAACTATATTCTATTTATCATAATCATATATTATTATTGACGAAAAAGTTCAGCTGGGAAATATCCTGATTTGCTGATGCTAGATTTATTCTAGATACAAAAAAAAAAAAACTGTCTGGAAAATTTTAAAAGAAGCTGTTAAAAGTTATGTTAATTAACATTCAATGCATAAATGCAACAATGGATATGCATTAATGTATATCAATACTGTTAACAAAGAGCAGTACACAGAACGGTACTTTTATTTTATACTAAAATATGTTTTAGTTTTTGCTGCTTAATTGTCAAATGGTCGCTCAGCTACAGTTTTAATTACATGTTTATTTATGCAACATTCCAAGTTGCAATAGAAAAAATATTTTTCCTTCCCATTTGCCCGTGTTTGCATTTCTTTACCTCACTTGTCGCCCTCACACACTCACACACACATTTGCAAACACCTGGAAGAGAAGCAGAAACAACAGTTGTTCATTGTCTTGTGAAAGCAACCACATCTCCCCGTCCACCGTCCACCTTCCACCCACATCCACAATGCAATCTAAGCAGCCACAGAAAAAAGTGTTGCCAACATACACACAGATATGATATTTTTGCACACCAATACACAGCCAGACAAGCAGACAGACAGTTGAACGCAGTTGAACGACTTGAGGGATTTTACTGAAATGACATTTGGCTCCACATGTGACAGGCAGCAACAGCAACAATAACAGCAAATGACTGCAGCCGTTGGCATTGAAAAAAGCAATTTAAGTCAAGCACAGATATTCGCACACACACGTGGACTACACGTATGCGTGTACACGCCATATGCAATCACGCACACACACACGCATGCCAATTTGCTATTGTGGCAATGCCTGCGCCTGTCTCTCTCACTCTGCCGCGTATACTCATTTTGATAAATTGCCATTGTTACCTTTCTAAGAGCAAACAGATGTTTAATGTGTTTGTGGAACTCAATTTGAGTAAAGCGGAAATCAAGACAAATGCAATAGCAAAAAACAAATTTAATTAAAGCACAATAGCAAATACATACAGAATGATATTTAGATAAAACACAAGCGAATGCTAGTATTAATTAGTTAGACTTTAAGCTTTCGCTTTTAGTTTCAGTAAGTAGCTAAATGAATGGCACCCCTACTCAACAGTTCATAGCAGGCACCTAGCTTTCATTAAGCTTAAAAGTATCAATAAGTAGATAAAGGACAAAGGCTGCGCTATATGGGATTTCATAGCAGGCAGCTTGATAGCACTAAGAAAGATCGCTTAGAGTTGGCAGACTATGGAAAAGAGGCGATCAGTAGTGCTAAACTAAACTCCTGCATTTACATATTTCCATTGATATGCAGTCCCAAAATTAACACATTAAAAATCGAAATCGAAATTATTATTAGCAGCGAATTCGAAGTGAAAACTTCGCTGCAGCTGCAGGAGTAGGTGCAGGATTGGGAGCGAGGAGCGGGGGCAAGACCAATCGATGCGAGTCGCTAGTGATAAATGAGCAAGGCGAATGAATTAATGTATATGTGTATGGGGAGGGGGAGGCTAATTGAATTTAATTGCACACTTAACGGGACAATGAGAAGCTCAGTTCAAAGAAGAAGCACAAGAAAGGAAAAGTAAAATGTGTGTGTGTGTGAAACTTGACCACACACACAATGGGAAAAACAGAAGTGCTCTAGTTGAAAGTAACCAACTAGCAGATACCCTGTAATCAGACATGGTTTAATGTAATTTTGTAGCTATACCCACTGTAAACAAATACAGTGTATTGAGACAATACTCGTATTAAAATAAAAATAAATAAATAAAAATTGATTTAAGAAAAAAATAAACAAAAATTGCACTCATCTTTATTCTTTTTAACATTTCACTTCGCAAAACAAAACATTAAAACAAAATTCCATTAGAAAAGATATGCATTATTTTATAGATATTGTCTTCAACTTTTTGTTCGAACAGCCGAACAAAATTTTCGTGGTGTCGCAAGGACCATCGACACTCACTAGCACTAGCGGTCTCCTTGATTCCCCAAGGAATACCGCTAGTACTCCTATGAGTCAGGATTCGCTGGTCACACTCTCTGGCTAATCACAGGCGAAGCCTTGCTTAGCAAGGATACATGCCTTTCACTTAATTCCAGGACCTCAATGTCCTGCGTGATCGTTGAGCCGATCCTTGTACTTTTTACCGTCAAATCATTCTTGTGGTTTACATTTAACCGCACTGTATTGTTGCGCAGACTTTATTGCGTTAATTCTCGTTTAGCTGTGATAACTTCGCTCGGTACGCCCGACTCGCTTCGTAAATTCGCACAGACTCCCCAACTTGTGCTGCGGCGCTCCCTTTATACCCTTATTGGCCACCTTTTGACGAGTCTGTCACCAAAGGTTGCACGATCTTTTGGTAAATTTCCACTGCCACTTGCTGGTGCTAGTCATTGTCTGCCGCTAGAGTGCAGCAGGGCCGGATTGCTGCCTGATAGACAGTTACTGTGAGGGGCGTTTATATTTAATATTTCTTATATATTATTTATTCCAGTTAACATTCGAATAGTTTGTTTCATACATATATATGCATATATATATAAATTTACATATACCTATATATACATACACATATGCATATATAGATGCTCATGACATTCATTATGTGATATGGCTCTTCACAATCTACTGTTTTTTCGGCAGTGGAAGACTTCCACTTTCAAACATAAACGGTCGCCACTCTTTATGTTTGAATGCGCGCTCTCCAACGGCCGCTACATTGTTAGGCATAACGTCGATCGATTAATCGTCATGGCATTGTGTACTTGTGCCATAGTGAGGGTGGATATCGCCAATCATGGACTCCCCACCGATCGATATATCGCGCAGATCATCGATACAACATCGGTTGGCCACCGATCGCGACGACTGCCATCGCTATTTTCGGCAATTTGTTTTGTTTGTTTGCTGAAAATATTGAATCAAATGGTAACTGTTGTTGTGGCTGTGCTTAGTGCTTAGTGAATGTCCATATTAAAACTTTTCATGCTTATTGTGTGCAGCTATGCCGCATGTACTACCTAATTATTCAGTTTGTTTTTTTTTTTCATATACTTATTATTTCCAACATATTTTCATACCTGGCACGGATGCCTTGATCCTGTAGCGGCACCCCTGGTGCCACACGATCCGGGATCCTCGTCGGCTTGGCCCCGACTGGGCCTCAGCCATCTCCACTACGCCAGTCAGCTCGTGCAATCCGCTTTCGGATTCCGGCAACGAGAATTCTCGCTGGAGCCTGTGCGGCTTAAGCACCGCCTCCGGCCATGACGACTGCAACATTAGCGGTGGCGGCGGCGATTCCACTCGAGGCCGTGCGGCTTGTGTCCTCCTTCCAGGTGCATATCACGGTGACGGTCTGCAGACATCGTGTATTCATCGTCCGAATTTGTCAGCGGCACCGGTGAACGTCTCGTCTCGTCTCGTCCTCCGACTCGGAGAAGTCGGATAGGCCACCGATCGCTTCGTCTTCGCGCTCATCTGCCTCGGCCAGCGATCATGGCATTGATTCGACGGAGTCCGCGCGTGGTCGGCCCAAAAAACGGACCACCGTGTCGTGGCATCCTTCATGACATCAGCCCTAACGCGTCCGCCGGGCTCGGAGGCTTTTTTAAAAGACCTCGTAAATTGCGTTCCGTTGTCGGTTATCAATACTTTTGGTACTTCGAACTTTGCGTCTGTATTTAAAATCTTTTTTTTCCTGCACGCGTGCACTTTTCCTTTTGTTCGCCTCCAAATCTCGACTGTCTCACTTTCAACTGACCTCTAAAAATTGGTCCTTTTTCTACCTTCTTTTCAAATTTTACATACTTATTAAACTTCTACCATAACCTGACCGCCAGGTGGCGCTGAGCACTCCACTCTTCCCTTCGAAAGGTGATGCTAAATTAACTTATCGATATATTCGCCAACCATTACATAATTTATGTCATTGCAAAGGAGTAGAATCGGCTTGTGGTAAAGTATGTGACAGGCAAGGGGGAGTATTTGCGTCTCTATATAGTATATATATTCTTGATCAACATGAATAGTAGAGTTCGTTTAAACAAATCCGTTTGCCAGTCTAAATGAAAAAGTCGATCTCAGAGATTAAAAGTAATCATATATCAATAAGAAGTTGCAGTTTTTTTATTTGATCGATAACTGCCTTGGTTTCAATTACTTATCGATAAGAATCGATTACCAATAGCAAAATAAAGCACATTTTGCATATACTTTGGCATAATATTGATTATATATGCATGCGCTTCATGCGTATCAGATATCGATACTTTGGAGATATCGGGGCAATGGCAACAAGGTTGCCAGATAGCTTTGAAAGCTTCTTGTTTGCGTATCGGAATAAATTGCGTATACGGAATAAATTTGTATTTTCATAAAGATTTCGACAATTATCAACAAGCAAATAAAATGTCATCTGTGAATGGGAACCAAGAAGAGAGTCCCACTCGAGACTCGACAGCAGGCGCCATATTGGATTCCAGCGTGGGCAGCCATGCAGACACCTTATTGAAGCGAATGCAGCACTTTGTGGACAACCAGCAGCTGTGCGATGTGGTTCTCATCGCTGGCATTGATGGCAAGCGGGTATCCGCTCATCGCTTGGTGCTCTCAGCATCGAGTGAATATTTTTTGGCCATGTTTGCCGGATCGCTGCGCGAGAGCAAGGAGCACGAGGTGACCCTTGGCGAGGTGCATGGCGATGCGCTGCAGCTGCTCGTCCAGCACTGTTACACCGGAAGTATTGAGCTGCACAAGGACACTGTCGAGACGCTTCTGACCACCGCCAAAATGCTGCAGCTGACATCTGTGGTGACGACATGCTGCAATTTTCTCGCCCGACAGCTGCACGCATCCAATTGTTTGGGATTCGCATTCTTGGCGGAGCAGTACAGCTGCACAGAGCTGCTGCGAGTGGCGCAGGCGTACACCTGCCAGCACTTTATGAAGGTGTGCCACGACCAGGAGTTCTTTCAACTAAACGCCAATCAGCTGGGCAAGCTGCTGTCCAGCGATGAGCTCAGGGTGCCAACCGAGGAGGATGTCTTCCACACGATGATGTCGTGGGTGCGCCATGATGCGCCCACTCGTGAGCAGCACATACCCAAGCTGCTCGCCAAGGTGCGACTGCCCCACTTGCCGCCATCATTTTTGGTGGATCACGTGGAGAACGTGTGCAGCGCCAGCAACGAGTGCCAGCAACTGCTGCTTGAGACCTTCAAGTGGCATTCATTGCCCCCCGAACGCCGTTCGCTCATTGCTGCCACCGAACGAACCAAGCCCCGCAAATATATTCTCGGCGTATTGCTGGCTGTGGGTGGATTGGATAGTTCCCTCAATGGCGTCAATGCCATTGAGAGCTACTGTCCGTATCTGAAGAAGTGGACGACTTGGAAGCTAAAGTTTAATTGTATTGATGTTGGCGCCGCTATCATGAATAACAAACTGATTCTGCTAGGCGGATACAATGGAAGGCAGACGTTGAACTCTGTGGTGAGCCTTGACCTTAACACGATGGCCAGCGTTCTCCTCAATCCAATGAGAACGGCCCGTTGTAAGGTAGGCGTTGGGGTGCTGGATGGACACCTCTATGCGGTCGGTGGAACCAGTAACTATAATTCCATCCTGAGCACGGTTGAGCGCTGGGATCCCATTGCGCGCACCTGGAGCGATGTGTCGCCGATGTGCACGGAGCGTTCGTCTCCTGGAGTTGCGGTGTTGGGCCTTCGCCTTTATGCTATTGGCGGATCCTTCGATACTCCATCAATGGAAAGCTACGATCCGCAAACAAACAAATGGAGCCTTCGGGCGCCAATGAATCGATGTAAGGGCGAAGTTGGTGTCACAGTTGCAAATGGATTCGTTTATGCTTTGGGTGGCTTGCGCGATGGTGATCCCTTGAAAACCGTGGAACGTTATGATCCAACTACCGATACGTGGTCACTAATTTGCTCGCTGGTGGATCGCATTGGGATCGGTTGTGCTCTGCTTGGAGATCGTTTGATTGCCGTTGGCGGCTTTGATAGGACAAGTCCGCACAACAATGTCGAGGAGTACGATTTGGTGCGCAATGTCTGGAATAAACTGGCGCCAATGTCGGTTCCACGTTACCGCCCCCATGTCTTTAACATTCCAAACATAATACCACCACCACCAGCTCCGTATACGCCGGTCGCAGATAAGGATGGATCCAAACCAGCTTAAGCGTCTTACAAATATGTGATTACACTAAACTATAATAATAATAATGATATTATTACTAACAATAATAATACTAATACTTATAATAATAATAATAATAATTACAATAATAATAATAATTATCAATTGAATGAATTAATGAATACGTTGCCAAATGCGTGCAGAGTATCTTCAATTCGAGCTCTCTCGGAGAAGAACAAAAGTGATAGATTAACGGATACCCTGCAGTGAGCCTGAATACATTATTGTTTGTAGTTGGGTTAGGTTAGGTTAGACGGTTGCTGACACACATATTCCACGCTAATCCCATTTCTGTAGCACTCGTGTGCGCTTAGGTCAGGCTGTGTTAGATTTAATAGAAAGTGACTTCGTAGTATAGCGCGCCTTTTTCTTTCTAGAGCAGGGCAGGAGAAGAAGTGTTTCGGAGATTCTACCTCCTCTTCGTCTCTGCAACTTCTCCAGAAATCATTGTAGGGTGCTTGGAGCCTATTCGCATGAATACCCACTAGCCCGTGGCCGGTTACTGCAGGCATTACAGTAGAGTTGTGCAGCCCTACTAAGCAATTGTTTGGAATACACAACACGTTGCAACTTGATCCACTGTTCTGTAAGTACGTGTGCACTTCTAACTGTTGCCCCCACTGCTCAACATCAGTGTTGTTTTTTTCCGTCAAATTTGACACACTGACCTCGACATATTTCAATGGAAGCCAAGACCTATTTTGAGGTGTTGCATCCCTGGAACAATTTAAAGCAGTTTCCACCGACTTAACCTCTTCCTCATCCTCATCCTTGTGAATATCAAAGTGAGCAAATAGCACGTGTTTTGCGGTCCGCGCTTTTTACCTTCCGTGGGTAAATGTAGCTCTGACAATTTTGCAAGCAGTTCTGCAACGGTCAGTGCTAAAATCTCTTCCAGTTGCATCTTGAAGCTAAACCTTACAACTAATTCGGTAATGTGCTTAAATAAGGCTGTTTATCAAACCTTTACAACGTTTCCCAATTTAACTTTTCCGTCTATGTCAAGATTAACGCTGCTCAATTGTTAAAAGCTACTGCCGATATCTGCACCTCAAGCCCTTGAGCTTTTTGCTATTCTGATAAGCTCGATAGTTGCCCTGCCAATCAACTCGATTAGTTTTGTATTGGTCGGCCAATAGACCGATAGGTTTTGAGTATGGACATGTTAGCACCATCTTTCGTAGGGAAGAGAAGAACAGTCCACGCCACCTGGCGGTCAATAGTATGCAGTTGAGATTTGTAGGCGAGAAAAAGGAGAGAAGCTATACACGAGGTGGAGTCTGACAGGTAATACGACAGAAAAGGGAGAGAAAGGAGGACAAAAGGAAGTGGAAGAAAAGGGCCACATGCGCATGCGCATATAGAATGAAAACTTATGTTAATAAATTAATATATACACAAATAAAGATAAAAAAGATAAACAAAATAAAATATAATATAAAAAATAGCAAACCAGTGGCAACATCAGACAAAATAAACTGAAGAAAGGCCTGCCGCTAAGGAGGGGATCGCCGGGGAGGACTGGAGTCCTAACATAACTGTGGCACGCAGCAGACAATCAGCTGATCGTCCACAACCACTAGGGCATCAGTGATGCGCAATGCCTGCAACAGTGATGCTCATTTTTCCCATCAGTTTGCAGCACAAAGAAAAAAGATATCCGCAATATCCGCACAGTCAACACAGTAGCGAGTGGACTAAACTGATACAGAATTTGTTTTTTGTTTTATTTCTGCAAGAAATACAAATTATTGTTGACTTGCCATCCAATATATCGAGGTCGATACCCACCTGAGCCGACAGCCAGCCTTGGTGCTTTCGATAGGCAAGGAGTAAACTCTTGCAAATTGACGTATAACTTACTTTTTTCTAAGAAAAAAATGATTGATTTGAGATTGTGGATATTTATTTCAGGTTAAAATATGGTTTGGGTTTTTATATTTAAATTAAGTTTTATGTTCTAGAGATTTGCGCTGAACTTTAATTAAAGATCTTTAGGTCTTATGAACAATATGGTTCATGCAATGCACGGCCTTATAAACATTTGATCACAATCGCAATCGGGTTCGTGCAACGAATTCATATTCGGTTGCGTTTGTGATAGTTAAATTACACAATTTTTCTCATAAGGTCACCTATTCACTGCGGCACTTAACAATCAATACAGTGCTAATGATTCGCCACTCAATTTATTTACAAAACAACTACGTTGCTTGTAGCGGTCTCCTTGATTCCCCAAGGAATACCGCTGGTACTCCTATGAGTCAGGATTCGCTGGTCACACTCTCTGGCTAATCACAGGCGAAGCCTCGCTTAGCAAGGATACACGCCTTTCACTTAATTCCAGGAACCCAATGTCTTGCGTGATCCTTGAGCCGATCCTTGTACTTTTTACCGTCGAATCATTCTTGTGGTTTACATTTAACCGCACTGTATTGTTGCGCAGACTTTATTGCGTTAATTCTCGTTTAGCTGTGATAACTTCGCTCGTTACGCCCGACTCGCTTCGTAAATTCGCACAGACTCCCCAACTTGTGCTGCGGCGCTCCCTTTATACCCTTATTGGCCACCTTTTGACGAGTCTGTCACCAAAGGTTGCACGATCTTTTGGTAAATTTCCACTGCCACTTGCTGGTGCTAGTCATTGTCTGCCGCTAGAGTGCGATAGTTGAGTGATAGACAGTTACTGTGAGGGGCGTTTATATTTAATATTTATTATATATTATTTATTCCTGTTAACATTCGAATAGTTTGTATGTTTCATACATATATATGCATATATATATAAATTACATATATATAAATTTACATATACATACACATATACATTGACATTCATTATGTTATATGGCTCTTCACAATCTACTGTTTTTTCGGCAGTGGAAGACTTCCACTTTCAAACATAAACGGTCGCCACTCTTTATGTTTGAATGCGCGCTCTCCAACGGCCGCTAC